ATGAATGGATCGCTGAAGTAGGTAAATTTTGGCATGCGCAGGTCAACAGGACTTTTAAAACAGGACTTCAGTAGAATGTTCGGTAACAGAGTGAAACTTCAAATGTTTATTTAAAAAAACCTAAAAGACACCAAAAAATTCTCGAACTCAATTGCAATATTTCGTTGCCTACTACCTTTGTCAGAATTTGAATGTGTTCCGGAGAATTAAATCTGAAATTAATATAGAATTTTACCAAGATCAAAATGTCAGGCCTGACGAAGGTGTTAGGCATGGAAATTACAAGTTAATTAATATTAAAAAGCTTTTCAGAGTTTTAGCGTATTGGGCTTCCAAATAAAGAAATAATAAACTGAATACACATTAAAAGTCCCACTTTTTTTACCAAAAATTCATATGTAATGACTTTCCGGGACAGCACAATACTTCGACACCTAGTAGGTAGGATCATATGTAGTCTTACCGTTTGTCAAAACGGAAATCCATCCACAGTGTCAGGACAGGTCGGAGCAAGGTGCTGCCAGCGTAGGATGAGCTTCATGAGGTCACAGCTCGAACTCACTGCACTCAAACGTCGAAGATCAGATACAGTTCGGCCTAGAATGAGTTTTCATGTACTTCTCCAAATTTAACCCAGACTGTATGCGCTCAACTTTAAATATTCTAAGAATTACCAGTCTGTGAAAAAACAAGTAATAGCCCACTAGTGGAAGTAACCTCTATGTTCATTTTCAGAACCAAGTTCTCCTGCACATATTTGAAGGGCACCTATACGATTAATGAGCATAAACGTCTTGAGGGTGAAGGACGCGTAAGGAGCCGCAAAAAATGATTGCGAGCTACGCAATCCTAATTACCTATTACAGGCGGATGCGATAATCACTGCCTTTCCGTGGCCGTAAATATAATTAGATGAGACTATGAGACAAGGCTAAAGTGTGACTGAACGTAGTTTATACCATACGACTTACCGGATGTCGCTATGAAATCCAGACCATCGAGGCTGAACTCATAAGGATTGGTGGGCAGTGTTAAAGCAGCATCAGGTACCGATGACTTCGGCAGACAGGCACGATGAATCGGTTGCTGAGGCATTTGCTGCGTGCACGGATCCCCAAGTCCTGGTACCAGGTCCACCTTCACTCTGGTCTGGAAAAAAAACAAGCTCGTGTCTCCTTCAATGAACTAAACACTACGAAATGGGACACTCCAGCGGTATCGTAGAGGTCTGATTCTGATTTAGTAAATAGCAAAGTGGATCAAAAAAACATGGGGCACACTCACCTTCGTGGATCTCGACACTTACCATGTGTGAGATGAATGGGTCTGCAGCTTTGTATCGTGTGACTTCCGGTAAAAAGGCACGGGGGGGGGGGGGGGGCTGGACGGTAGTTATACATGGGTGCCGTATCCACACTACTCCTGCACTGCCGCACGCCCAGCTGCACGCTTGACCATAGCCGAAAGCGCTACTTGTCTGCGTTCACACTTCTGGTTATTCCTCTGAAACCGCCAAGAGCGTGTTTCGCCAACAAGCGCTATCCCTGAAGATAGCGCGGGCGGTATGGAGACGGCACCCGAGTGTCACTACCCTCCATCAGTTCCTGTGCAACTTTGACTGTAAAAATCGGCTTGCTACGGCAGCCGTGGACCCATTCACCGTCCACGTGGAGAATACCGTCCTCGGACGTGAATGAACAGTTTGTCATTAAGATTGACTAGGAAATAAGGCAATTCTACCAGCACTTCTCGGCACAAAAACTAGTAATATCTTTGGAATGAACTTTCAGCCTTATTATAGCCACACCTTTAGATTACTGCTTAACTGGATCATAATTTCGTGACTTTCTGATGACCTTCAAAATTCTGAAAGATTCAGTGAAAATATGTGTAGAGGACTTTTTCCCTGTTACCATCTAACACAAGTGGAGCATCGATTAGACTTAATCCTACTCATGCGAAAATTCAAATCAAATCGAGTTTTTTTAGTAACAGAGTTTGCTCAAGTTTTAACAACCTTTTGCTGGCAAATGTTTTTCCGCTGTAATAGGTAACCTTCAAGAAACGTATTGGTGTATTTGTATAATTTATTGTCTTTAGCTTCATTAGGGATTACGATTCTTTTCAATCACATGCTTTTTTGACATATGCATAGAATAAATGAATAATTTCATTAAATTAGATTTAAAATGATTTCAAAGATGGTTTCCAGAAGTTTCCGGAATACTCAACGGTGGCATCAAATTACCAAATGGTGATTCTTTCTTTGTATCGTGGAATCATGCACTAGGGGATCTCTATCCAAAATTGCCTTGCCCTTAGCCAAAACTTCAGTGAGGGCAAATTTCTTTGTTCATAGCGGGCGCTCAATATCAAAAGTTGAGCAAAACCAGGTTCTCAACCAAAATAAGCGCTCAAAGCTTAAGTATCATTGCCGGAAGTTGTATTCCGCCTATTACATTTCTTGTTTCTAAATTGTATTCGTTTTTTACTTTCTACTAGTTGCTGTTTTGGTTTGCAAGTTTGTTATTACGTTTGCGTGACAGCCTAGCGCGACTATACCCTTATATCTACTACATGAATAAATGGAATGCTAGCTTCATCAAGACGAAAAGCCGTTTTCACCTAGCAGGAACGTGAAGTTTCAATTATTTTCTCGAGCAAGGGACATTAGGTAGACACATGGATCAGATTAAAACTCTTCCTGATATCTCCATATCCGAAGAATAATGATGAGTTTACTACTGTACCTTGCTGTGCCCTTAGAACCGCTACCGATACTTGAACATAACCTTCACTACATGCCAATAAACCAAATCAGGTACGAATTCTCTTAAAGGCAACGTATCGACCGAGTCCAGCATGCAAGGCCTGGATAATTATGGCGTCAGATGTGAGAGTTTCGGCCACAAAAATCTGACATTAATCCTTTGATAACAGCTTTGCGGATACATGAAACACATGGCACCAGTTCCTCGAAAGGCCGCTGAACAGCCGCGGTCATCAGGCTCATTAACTGCTCTTCATTTGGATGGTCCCTACGTGTATTACCCTCATGTGGTACTGTTCAACTACTCTGAAATAAAGATGCACTAAAACGTATGTTGTTACATCAAAAAGGTGTGATAAAGGGCGATGTACTCCTCTTTAATTGACATCTCTGAAAAGAGTGATCTGTTCCCCTTCTCACCAATTATGGATGTATCCAAACGAGCATTGGAACTACACAACGACCGTCATGGAAAACGCGTATTCAAGCCTTCCGTCCTTGACAGGTCTCTTGACAATGTGAACTGTTGATGGGCATTGTCAAAGGCGACGCCCAAGCAGCCACCTGGACGGCTTGGAACTGATGAAGTCTTCCTACCATGGTATACGTTTCACTAGTGCGATTACCAGTCGTACGACACTATGGTATGAACCGCTGCATTAACTCAATCCTTTAGATTACCGGATACGGGATTACTAAGTGATAGTGATAAGGCCATTGAAGAAACGATGGCCAGAAAAGATGAAGAAAAAAATCTGTCAAAAGTGGCTGTGACATTATTACCATTACAACAGACGAAAAGGAAACCAACCAAAAGTTTGGAAAGCATGGTATCAAGAGCAGCAATTGTCTCTACATTTGAAGACGCCTCCTTGTAGTTAAGATTGAGGTAGTGAACAGCAGATGCGAACTCGTGAGCCTGAAAGTATTCGAAATGCTTCAATGCAGACGACTGCAAGATGCAATTTTTAGTTTCTAATCTAAGCTTTCATTGCTAGGTAAATGTTAAGGCGATCATTCCTTGACAAGATGTAAGCAGAGGTTTGACCTACGCCTTCTTTCAGATGTAGGCGAAGGTGGTGAAGTAGCATGTGGCACGGTACAGTAAACACCGGGGATAAGATCCCAGGTCAACCAAGCTTTCTACCCTCGGAGGACGGTAAGTTGGTACCAGATCTGTCTGGGAGGACAAGAACACTCGATTGTTGGACACATCGGCTGGCCCCTCAAATCCTTGTACAGGCCACTTCGCATTCGGCTGCAACGATTCTGAACTGGAAGGTAGAATGCGTGCCGCATCCCACAAAGGGATTGATCAACGGCGAAGACTTTATCCTTTATATTTTTTAGATGGGAATCGGGCTTGCACGACCCTATACGGCAGAACTCGAAATGGTTCCAGACAAGCTCGTTGCACAAAACGAAGCCAAGAACAACACTGTGAGGTTATGATGAATAGCGTTGCTAACTTTTGTAATCCACTTCTGGATAGACCACTACTTGAAAAACAACCAGCTAGTTTCTAACGTCAAACCAACCACCGGTAACCGCTAACCTGTTAAATGCAAGAATTCCATTTAATAGTTGAGGAATGTCAATGTTCTGAATTCGAAATTCGCTCATGAGGACGAACCTCGACAAATGCCTTCCTCTTGTAGCTAACGTGGTGTAGGAGGACCCAGCTTGATTAGGTACTTCACGCCTTCTTCAAACTACAACGTCTTCTTATGGTTTCCCCTCTCTTCTCACACAATCTCCCTCCGAATCCCCACTGAACAGCAAAGGATGAAGCCTTCGCCGGATTAGCCCTTTTTGTGATGCAGCAACATTCTACTACTCAGAATCGCAGTGGCTTATCGAATGCTATAAGGTGTGCTAAGGACTTCGAATCGGCTCTCCCCTGCAATGGCTTGCAGGGGCAGCATTACAAGGCAGTGTTTTTGTCCTCCCGATTCTGGTACCAATTAACCGTCCCTGGAGGAATGAAGGCTCGGCTGACCTGGGTGGGAGACGATCCGGAGGGGGGGGGGACAAGTCGCGACCTGATGCTTAGTCTTTTGATATAACTATATACATATATGTTATCTCTAGTCTCAGTTAATCTACATACACTAGGTATGACATCAACAACTTCACTAAAAGGTTTTGTTTATATCATGAATATGGCCTAATAGCCACCCAACATTGTACTTCATTTACTGTGCCTTCAAGCAACTCAAATTAGCATTATTTTTTATTCAATGAAAAAAGTAATATCGCAAAACTAGTAATTAGTAACTTTGGCACTATTCCACTATTACTACTCTAAAATCTAAAAAATCTTTTGCTGAGTTCGGTGACCAAAAAAAATGTTGGTTCACGAATAGAACATTCATTTTGGCGCTGTCGCCATTTGGCGCCATCACCTATCTCACAGAAATTAATGAAAACTTGTATACGGGGGGGGTTATTTGACATTCTGGTTGCTACCCCCTTTTGTCGCTGGCGCCATTACGCGCCAAATGGCGCCAATTTGGCGCGACCACCTTCTTCACCGATGTCGATGAAAATTGCATGATATTGCTGACTGGTACCCTGGTCACGAGAACGACATTCATTTTTCGATGCCAGCGGGCTTTACCGCGCTGAGGCTGAGCCTGGCAGAAGGAGTGATTCCCATCCCGCCAGGCTCAGCCTTAGCAGAACGTTGATGATTAGAGTCCTCCATAATGGCGCTGGCGCCAAGAATGAATATCATATCCATGATCAGGATACCAAATAACCTCTGTATGCTAGCTTTCATCGATTTCGATAAGATAGGTGGTGGTGCCAAAAATGACGCCTACTGCACCAAAAATGAGTTTCATAATGGGTGATCACGATACTGCTTAATCTCTGTGGATGGACTTTCATTTTTTGAGTTTCCGGAGTGGTAATAGCGGAATAGTGCCGTAGTATGGTAATG